ATCGATGTTACCTTTATGGTTAATTATAAAACTATATCGTTAGTTTGGTGTCTGTTAATGGATTTGTTGATTTGACAGAAAAGGGCAGAGACTGTGTGGAGCCAAATAGAGTCGACTTTGAAGCAGATTGAGATTGGTGGAACAGAAGTAGAATGCTTCAAAGCATTGAAGAGGCAAGAAGAGATGGCTGCATCTTTCAGGAAAAAGAATTTGCAAGAGGAAGTGGCAAAGCAAAAGGAGACGGAGCAAAAACTGCAGGCGCGTTACGGCAATCTGTTGTCAACGCTTGAAAAAGCAGAGGAGATAATGGTGGGGTTCCGAGCACAAGCATTGAAACAAACAGATGTCGGAGATTCTCAGAAACTGAAAGAAGCCAAGCCTACCACTGGAGAAGAAGAGGACGTAGCCGTAGCCATGGAAGCTTCTGCTTAAACATTCCTCGGAACTTGAGTTTTGTATTGGTTCCAAGTTTAAAGGAGACACAGCTTGACTTTGTATTGGTTCAAGTGTTTTATGAGTCATGACTTTGTAAAAAAGGTTGTGGTATCATTCTCTGTTGTATGCTTTGCAAGGGTCAAGAAATTAGAATACTTCAGATCTGTTTGTTTCGTACAATCTGAAGCTGTCTCTAATCTTCATTTGATGCAAATTCTTACAATCTGAGCCTAAGTTTTGAGGTGAAACTGTGGATGATGATTGGAATGTGTTATAGGTGCCAATTGCCATTGATGCAAATTTTACTTTTGTTAAAGGACATGAAGAGAAGGAAAATGCTTTAATTATCATTTTAACCAAAATCAAAAATACAAAGTCTTGTAAACCCCTTATTATTACAAAGCAACATAACATAAATCAGAGAGTTTCAGCCCTCTCTCCAAAACTAATCAGGCTCTCAATTCTCCACTACTTCAGCTCATAGTCAGCTGGAGCCACGAATCCATGGAGGTTCATCACTGTCGCAGCTACATTCGCAAGTCCCGGTGTTTCCAGATCCTTACGGAATCTCACTCCTTGTGACAATCCAGGGCCTCCAATGGCAATTGGCACCTACAACACATTCCAATCAATATCCACAATTTCACATCAAAACTAGTCCAATGTTTTAGGCTCCTCCAGGGCCTCCAATGGCAATTGGCACCTGCAACACATTGAATGATATTCCACTGTCACTTGGGATTTCAACATACTCCTCCAATTTCTCGTTGAAATATCCAGATCGGTTTCCATTCCAGAAGAATGTGACATGCCCAAACTTGACAGTCTCACTGTTCCAGTCACAAACATTGATATATATGATCAGTTCAAGAGTATAAACATAGAACACTAATGAGCAAGTAACTAGAGATAACCTAAGCAAAGCATGTACCTGCAAGCAAAGATACGGATGCCATTGTGAACCAAATATTCACCAGAAGTTCTATCGATCTCCGGGGGAGTAACAAGGTAACGGTTAGGCAGCTTTAGCTCACCATCATACTCCAGCATACCAGCATAACGGATCTTTAGGAACCTAACACGGCCAAATTTGTCAAAATCTTCATATTCAAGTGCCTTAGCATGCATAACCACACGATCAGCCCTGAAATTGAAAGTGACAACAGCATCACCGTCCACAATAGGACCAACCGCTTTCCCTGCATCATCAACAATCACAAACGGAGGCAAATACTGATCATTAGCACCAGGCTCTTTCCTCAATGTCTTCACAGCTTCAACAGCGTTTTTGAATTTATGTGGATTTTCACCAAGAACTTGAGCATCCCAACCACGTTTCACAACTTCCCAATCATTCTCACACCTGTCCAAAGTCACATACATACGACCTCCACCAGATGCAATCTGAGCATCAACACCATTCTCACGGTGCTTAGCGAGATCAGCTTCAAGGGTTTCCACAAATCCAACACTTGAACCATCCAAAACATCACGACCATCAGTAAGAATATGAACACGGATTCTCTTAGCACCACGTTCAGCAGAACCCTTAATCAACAACTGTACAGAAACAAAACACCTTGAGCAAAGTATGCTATTAAGAAACCAAAAGGATGAATCAAACAGATAAAGTCAATACCAGTAGCTGATCAAGACGAGAGTGGACTCCACCGTCACTTAAAAGTCCCAAGAAGCGTAAAATATTCTTCTCGAAAGATTCAGAAACGTATTTGAATCCTTCACCTTCAAAGATTTTTCCAGAAGCCAGAGCGATATCACAAAGCTTAGCACCTTGAGCGAAAAAATTCTGTTTTTTTTTTTTGTAAGAATATTAAAAAAAAGTTTTTAAAAAGTAGATGTGATTTAGTAATCTGTATCTGAGTTAAATAAAGTTAGCATCACAAGAAGTTTCCAATACGACTGCACGCACTGCACAAGTAAAATTGGCAATTATACTAACTAAGACCATAACCAAGTGAGAAATATAACTTTCCAAAACATTTTCATAGAAATAACTAGATGGCAAACCCAAAAATAGTTCACTACAATGCATGCCAGAATCTGTACAATGTGCAAGCATTTCATCAGAGAAATTAAGTTTAAGAACTCACTTAATATAGAAGTCAATGATTGTGTCATTCACAAATGTCTCTGGCTGCAAGAGCTCAACGTCTCTTTTGCAAATAGAAACAGCATCTGGATCTCCCTTTGGATAGGTTCATCAAAGCTGAAAAGAAAACATAAAACTAGCAATATCAATATGAAATGCCAGCTCCGCTTGACAATCTTTGGGCAAGATTTTGCACCACCATAGAATATCGACCCAAAAATATTTGAATAAACTGCAAGCATTCCAGAACTTCAGTAGTTGGAAGATTATATTTTGATAAAATCACAGGAAATAGCCATGCTCAATTATTTACTTCAGAGAGCCACACAAGTAGTGCCTTACCAAAGAAGAACAGAAGACAACATCTGAATCCAGAAAGACATAAATACAGCTCCAATTTTACCTTGGAAAATAACGCTTCCGTTGATGCAAGTTGTCCCCTGATACTTCCACGTCATCACTAATTCTCATTATCAAAGCATGGAATCACACATTCTAAATGAAAGTGGGCAGAAAATTAATTTTTCAATTAGCATTCTATAATATTAGAAACTTACTCGAGGTCAGCATTCCATACAGCTGGGTATTTCACATGCAGCGAGTTAATTTTTGGTTGCTTCTCAGGCCAGTTGTGCTCTTTAACCGCAAACTTCAACTCCTCAATGTCTGGAAACCACATGAAGCAATACAAAAAGGTTAGAAGAGGGATCCTTTGTGGTAGAAAGGAAAGAGTTGAGACTTAAAAAGCCAGACTGTTTGGTTTTTGCAGAAATGAAAATCAGATAAAACATATCTCTTTTGACTCTTAGCCGTTATTAATCATGTGCATACAGGCAACGGCTCTTCTCAGTATAACAAACAAAAATGAAAAAGCCACAATATTAGGTGCCTAAGATGACTAAACACTAAATCGTATTGGTAGATTATAAGTTTAAAACAAGATAACTTGTTGCAGAATTGCAGAAAACATTCTGCGATAGCCTAAATATATACAATAACTGGGATATCTTCATGACACTTTTCATCCTTCAATAGAACTCGAATTCTGAGAATGATCAACCCAACCTATGAAAGTGACCGGCAAAAAAATATAAAATTAATAGAGGTTCCTATGTTCAACTTAGAAAATGAGCCTATACAGTTTTTTTTTTTTAACGGAAGCATGATATAAATGAAAAACTCACATTTTGGTACCAATTGTATTGAATACTAACAATGTCTTCAACTCCAACTTCACAAGAGAATGGCGCTTCTTCATTATTTGCAAGGTAACTCTTTATTTTGATGCCATTGCATGAAAACATTACCAGAGATTCAGCACAAGACGTATCCTTAAGTAAAACATACTCTGGAGTCATGATAACAGTCGTGTTTCTGTCAATCTGCAAAGTAGAAAGCATCACTTCACAAAATGTAACTCTTACTTTGTACATCCAGCACGACTAAAAGTATCCTTAACTAATATACAAGACCAAATTGAATGTATCGACCATCCACCAGCTCCATCAGATATGTTGCTAAGAGGAATAGCCATATTACAAAGTGTATTTTAAGCATTGGGATGAAATTTTTGAAGCTCAGAAACAATAAGGGGAAAAAAAAATTACAACACCTGGTTAAAGAAAGACGAGCACATCATTTTATGAACACACCACAATTTGACTACATGAACAACTAAAGATGCCCGAAATATAGAACCATGCATAAGGAAATTCTTAACTCAGGATGCAAAATAAGTAGTGAAACAGTAAACCCCAATCACATAAAATATCACACAGTACCATCATGGTCAACGGGAAGGGGAAAAAAAAGAACCAATATTATCTCATTGCAACCAGCCATTAGTTAAGAAACTAGAAAACTCATTACCTTTTCCACATCACTGAAGCAGTGTTCAGTCATCCAATCTTTCAGCACATATAACATTGAAATCAATACCCAGTTAAACATTGGGGGACATCCACGCATATCTATAAGGAAATAAAATGAAAAAACTGTAGCATGTACCTTCATCACCTTCTGAATCAGAAGCTTGACTCAGCGCAGATCGATCACTCAAGCTTTCATCAACAGCTGACAGCATATCATTTTGATCCTGCTGCAAATGTGAAGCGATTAAAAATGCAAGCTAAATTTTTTAAAGGCTTTAGCATACATAAATTAAGCAATAAAAGATAGATTTACATACACTGGATGAAGAATCTGAAAGGGATGAGTTTAGCTGGTGTTGGCTGTACGACGAAGTTCCAGCGTAGAAAGTTTTCGCGTCTGGCTGGCAAGAGAAACTTTCCAATCCATGATCTACATCAATTTCTTCAATGTCATCATCGGTATTCAAACCAAACATCAATCCATGATTATCGTGATCTACATCTGTTTCTTTTGCTTGATCTTCTGTATTCAAACCAAACATCAATCCATGGTTATCGTGACCTCCATCTCTTTCTTCCAAACGGTCTCTGGTTTCCAAACGAAATGTGAGACTCATTCCGGACTCCTCAGCTTCTGTTACTAAAGTCGGAGAATCTTCACATTGATGATCCACTACAGCAGTACCAGCCTCTGCACAACTTGTACCTTCCAGTTCCTCGTTCTGAACACGTTTGTCATGGCAAACTGACAGCAATCAACCATATCCATAAGCATTCATACATGATACTAACTAAAAAATAGTACAAATCATTCCTATTGCCTCCCACCAAAAATTGTACAATCATAGCATCACTATCTCCTACATACTCAGAAACACAGCGATGTTCCCAAATATATTTTTTCGGAATTGAAACTGGAGCAAGAGATATACAACACAGTGTGAGTATAATGATGAAGAAGAAGAAGAGCAATAACCTTACAGCTTCGGATGCGTTGGCGTTGCAGAACCGGAGAATTGCACGGACTAGGGTTTGTGAATTTTTCCAACAACTTTCCAGCTGCAGACTCAGCGAGCTCGTCATCTTCGTTGAAATCATAAACATCAATGTTTTTCTTCATCGCTACGAAAATCCGAGTAAAAGCCTCGCCG